AAAAATTTATTTTTTAAATTGCTTGTTTTATTTTGAGATGTCTTCTTCAGGATCTAATCGAAGTGGAGATCCGGATTGGAAATATGGATATAACCCAAATCCGAATGACAAAAATTGCATTCGATGCAATTTTTGTGAAAAAGATACGAAAGGGGAAATAAACTGGTTTAAAAAGCATATTGTAGGTATTAAAGGGGATGTTGCCCCTTGTAAAAATGTTCCTAAAGCTATCAGAGAGGGGATTAAGCAATATATGAGTTTTGTAAAACAAAAACAGGAACAAAATCCTTGTCATTTGAATAGATCTATTTCTGCTACTTCTAGAAGAAGTGATCCGTGTTGGAAGTATGGTTATAACCCAAAACCAAATGATAAAAATTGTATAAAGTGTAATTTTTGTGAAAAAGACACCAATGGGGGCATTAAGCGATTCAAGAAACACCTTGTTGGTATTAAACGAAATGTTGGTTCTTGTAAAAAGGTTCCTGAAGCTATTCGGGATGAGATTAGACAACTGCTGAATTTAAAAGAACCAGAAAATGATAAAAATGAGCCTTGTTCTACAGAAATATCTTCTCTAGGTTCTTCTAGAAGTGGTGATCCGAGTTGGAAGTATGGTTATAACGCGAATCCGAATGACAAAAATTGTATTAAATGTAATTATTGTGAAAAGGATACTAATGGGGGGCATTTACCGGTTTAAACAACACCTTACCGATATTAAGGGGGATGTTGCCCCGTGTAAAAATTTTCCTGAAGCTACCTAGGAGGAAATTATACAATATTTTAGTTCAAGGAAGCACAAAAAGATTGAAAATGGTAGAGCAGCCAAGACTCCTAGGGCCTCATCTGCACATACTAGTAAGAGGGTGGTAGAAGAAACAGAGGAGGACGAGCGTTATATTGAAGAGAGAGATGACTATGATGATGATGGCCTCGATTCTTATGCATATGATGAAGTTGACCCTATTCCTTCTGATGATGATGATGATGATGATGATGACTGAAGACTCTTGGTGTTGACTGTTGTGTTGAGTGTTGACTATGGTGTCTATATATTTTATGAATTTCTGTATATTTTCTTTTTCTTATTTTAGTTTCTACTTTCTAGTTTCTAGTTCTACTATCTAACTTTTGTGTGTAGATATTACAGTGTATCAGACTATCAGTGTAAGCTTGTATGGTTTTACTGTTTTGGCATTGTATGAAAAATATGGATTATGGTCTTATGGATTATCAAAATACTGGGATTATGGTCTTAGTTTTTTTTTTTGTTAACTGGGCTGCCCAGGTTTTGAGCGCCCGCCTAGGCGCTGAGCGGTCTAAACCCCCATGGCAGCCTAGCGCTTTTTGAAACACTGGCAAGGTTTTAGTGTAGCCACCTAGGAATACCTCTTCACACTCCAGTGATATGAGGAACCTATCCAACTTAGACAGCCTAGAGGCGTGGTTTGACCAAATAAAAACTGAACCACTGAGAGCCAGTTCTACCAAACAAATTTCGAAAACAAAGTCTAAGAACGGCCCCCATTCTTGAAAGACCACCTAGTGACATTGCAATCACCCCTATGCACCAAAAGTAGGGTGGGTAGGAGCTATTTGGTCTAACCCTCTCCAAAAAATGTGAGAGTTGGCCCATTGGAACGGTAGACAGTAATGCACTTGAGAGAGAAAATACCAGAGGCTCTAGACAAGAAAACCATCACTGAATGTTTTGGCTTGTGGAGGTGAAAACGTGGTCGGAAGGGTCACATATGACTCAAATGCCTCCAAGGCGTCCTGGGCAAGAATGACCTTCCATTGACAGGGCCTCCTACCCCCCTACCTGGTGGGTCCAGACTAGGACAAGGCAGAAAGCTTTGTTTCTAAGAGAGCAAGTATATCATATAGGTGTTTCTGGGAGAAAGACGAGATGACAAGCTTTTCAGTAGACTGGCCCATGCCCCTTATGTTCCATATTAGGGATTTCATTTTGAGTGTTGACTAGTTAGGGCCAAATGTCTAAGCAAACGTCTGCGAGCCCACTTTTCCCCAGCAGGAAAGCAAGGATGGTGTGATGGGTTGGGTGGGTTGGGTGGGTTAGTGGCCCTCTATTCTGTAGTGCTGCGGGCCAGACCACTTAACTTTGTAGACCCTTTATCCTTTTCTTAATAAGTATAATACATGTGCTAAACATGTAGCTGCATTCTTCGTCCAAATCGTTAGGACATAGGAATTCATGTATATCCCCCACATATTGTATCATGCCCTCAATTCTAGCACAAGAATAGAAATTGTCAAACATATGTCAGACCCACCATGCCCAACCAAGATACAGCTCTAGCAGTTGGGGCTTAGCATATGAAATTGACCTTCAAACTACAGCCATGTATTTACTTGGGGCTCTTAAATCATGAAGTTGTCAATGACATTATTGCAAAAAGTACCTATCATTTTTAACAGAACGAAAAATAAATTCGCAAGAACCCACCTCTCCCTTCATTATCTTTTCATTGCAGTGCTTACAACCAGCACGAGAAGATTTGGAGGCTTCAATCGCATAATCAGTGCTTGCATCCCCGGCAGCGGCACTTGAAGTTGCATTCTCAACATAGTTATGTATGTTCTTTTGATCATCCCATCTAATTAAGTCAAAACCTTCAACATCTTCTTGGCTAAATCAAGTCGAAAACATGGTAATCAGTTTGAAGACATGAATGTTAGAAATTTGAAAAGTTTTACATTTCGCAACATGGCAATGCTTTGAGGGATGAAAAAAAGAGGCTAGAAACATCTAAGACATTCGCTTCCTCTAAAATTTCCTAAACTGAAAATCAGTTAGGAGGATACAAAAAATTTTCTTTTTTCTTTTTTCAATTTACAAAAGACATACGCTTTGATTTGCCGTGGTTTCTTGAAGATGCATCCAGCATGGTGCCACATCTGTTTCAAAATACATAACTTGAGTGTAGAAGGAATGAGCAAAGTAATTTAAAGAGCAAACTAATAGAAATTAACGAAAAATGAAGGGTGCAAATAATTTTTCATCACCATACATGCCAAACCATCCAAACAAAAAGAAAAAGAAGAAGAAGCTGCAAAACCATGTTGCTGTGTCATGTAGTATAGTTGTGTCACAGTGAACACAATAGCTTCCTTCATTTGGGCATCAGATGCCACATTCCAAAACTTCCAGGCGCTACTAAAATGGCATTTATTTTACAGGTTGTCCAACTTTTATCTCTTTTATCACCAAAATAATGACTTGATATCACTAAAGTGATGGCAGTTACTAGTATTCATTGTCAAGAAGGCCTAATACAATACATGGGGAAAATGCAAACAAAGGATGAGAGAAGAAGCACAATCGGCTCAAGTTGTAAAAGCCACCAAGCAACAAGAATTGCTTGTGACCATTTCCACACACACACACACACACATCAAATGGACATTCTAGACTCTAGAGCCAATCTTAAATAAGGAATTGACATTGAACATTTTTCTCTGAGGTCCAAATACTTGTGTATGGTTTGATTGTGTGTCTACATCAAATACGTTATTAAAGAAGCTGTAACCCCTTGTCCTTAGGAGTTAGAACTGATAAAATTAATAACATGGCAATTAGGGAACTTCACAACCAATAACAACCAACAGAAATATTTCGAAAGTCAACACCAAAATTAGGTAGATAGGGGAATGAATAACATAATCCTCTGCATAATAATAGATCGCCGATTTGTGAGGGAAAGATTGGGCAATCAACATTCATTACATAATAAGACTTCATATGAAGAGCTATCCAACTTATAGGAGATGATCTTCATTCAAAATCAGAAAATATTTGACAATAAATCACTTCTCTAGTAGCAAAACCATTTCTAAATAAATTTTTGACAAGACGGAACACTTGTCAAAGGCAACTTGCATCTCAAAAGAATGAAGTAATGCATTGCATAAGTTGTGTAGCACATCATAGAAATAGCATGTACATCAAATGCATGTCGATGCATATG